TTAAAGAAACACCCTTCCCCACTCAAATATATCAAAACCTCCCAACAAAAGCTTCTACTACAGGCAGAATGTAAACTAGTGTGTTTTAGTTCCTTAGTAAAGGCAACTACCAAAGTAAAGAATGCACCACATCGATGTGTAACCTTCCCAATAACGGAGTGACTTCTGGCTAGTTAATTGCTGTGCTGCTTCCTTCTCTGTAAAATGGATACCACAGTGCTTACCATATAGGGTTGTTGCAATGATGCAACACATTTAGAGCATCTAAAACTATATTTGGCATAAAAGAAACATTTAATAAATAAAATCAATTATTTCATGTAAACAAAAATAGATTCTCCTATATGTACTTTCTGGAGACATAAAACTAGCTGCAGTGTTTTCAAGGAAAACTTCAACTGACCACTATTTTCCAGAGGTTTGAAATACTACAGCTATTGCTCACTTCTCTTCTTCAGTTACTCTCCCTTGCTGTTCTCCTTTGAATTTTCTCATAGTGACGTGATAAGACTATGCCTATGACCTTAAATCAGCATTGTGTTTCTTAGAAAATGTTATCTGTTAAACAAAGGAGACAAGACTTCACAAATGGGGTCAAACAAAGCTCAGCTGTTCACACTAAGGCACCAAGGTGCTTTGATGCTACATGTATTGCCACAGAGGCATAAAGCAAATGTTAGGGTGAGGTGCTGGGGTATAAAGGTGAACAAGGTATGCTGCTGCCTTGTCCCATGGTGTTCTCACCTGGGGAATCCCCAGTAGGAACCTGACTATCTGTAGATTCTGGAACATTTAGAGACACGGAAACTTCTGAACTGATCTTGAAGAATGAGTAGAAGTTTGGTAGGTAGAGAAGGCAGAAAAGACAACTTATGCAGAAAGAACAACATATGTCAAAGAATGAAGGCCAGAAAGAGCTATGCTGTGATATCATTAATAAAGGAATCAGTAACATGCATAACTCCATTCCCCGTTTCTAGACCAAACATCTTGGTCTTTTCCCCTTAGACAAGAGCAGTATATACATGAGTGTTGCTTCATTAAGTCAGGTACTTTAGTCTGCCACTAATGTTTCCACGTGGTGCTAATCCAAAGCTGAGGGATGCCCTCACTTGCTGCTGTGTTGCTTGACCTCATTCCTCAGAATAGGCTTTTCTTGGAAGTAGCTATAACAAAACTCAGGGAAAAGCACCAAGAATCAGTTCTTCTAGCTCCATTTAACACTATCACAAAAAGGGAAAGTATATTACAGAGCTTTATGACTAAAAAAAAATTATGCTACCTTTAAAGAATATAAAATTCATCCAGTCAATACACCCACAGTAAGCATTATTCCTACCTTCATTCAAGGCTAAACTATTTTAAAATTTAATGTAAGTTTCTCAGGTAGAGGGAGGGTCTCAACGAGTTCTTAATGAAACTTGTAATAAACGCCCAGAATTATATTAAATATTGTGAAGAATAGGCAAAAGGGCCCCAGGTACTCTTTCAGGAAATTACAATACAAATAGGACAGCAAGGTCCACACACATAAAGACTATAGAAGCAATTCAGAATGGCTTGGCTTTGAGAACCAAGTTGTGTGGTACCAACTATAAATGCTAACAATACAGAGAAGGGATAGATTAGTGTCTGAGATAAACTACTACGACCACAGCAAAAGATTAGGAACAAGAAAAAAGATTCAGTGGTTCTGAGTCACAGGCAGCTGTTTGTTTTAATTTTGAGGATGTATTACAACATCTTCTTGATTTAAAGAGACATTTATATTCACATTTTAATATTTTTGAAACTCAAATGCATTTATAACGGACATGTACAGTTTAATAATGCACTTTAGTTCCTTCAAAAAAGCTGTTAAGTCAAGAGTGCAGCTCGCAATCAGCTCCTTAGAATTAAAGAAACAAGATACTGGCTGGGTGTGGTGGCTCATGCCTAGAATCTCAGCACTTTGGGAGGCCGAGGCAGGCAAATACAAGGTCAGGAGATCGAGACCATCCTGGCTAACACGGTGAAACCCCATCTCTACTAAAAATACAAAACATTAGCCAGGCATGGTTGCGTTTGCCTGTAGTCCCAGCTACTCAGGAGGCTGAGGCAGAAGAATCACTTGAACCCAGGAGGCAGAGGTTGCAGTGAGCCGAGATCGTGCCATTGCACTCCAGCTTGGGCAACAGAATGAGACTCTGTCTCAAAAAAAAAAAAGGAAACAAGATACTTAGGTTTAGTCTATTCTGGGCATGGGGGATACAGTGGGGAATAGTGGAGCTGACAGCAGGAACAGGTATTACATTTTAAATGTAGCCTATAAACACTAAAAGTAAGACTAGCTGTTTCTTGAAGTACCCATTCAGGTATATTAATAAAAGAAACAAACCGTACAGGACTGGACCACTCCTTTATTATTCATTTGGGTTTTTTACTTTATATTTAATATCTGAGGCTTTATATGCTTTGGAACATGTAGTTAGTTAACACTGCCAGTCATAGCTGCAATTCATCCAATTCTAAACAAAACTAAAAAAATTAAGCAGACAGGTAACAACTACCATGTTTTGAGACAAGAAATTACTCAGTTCCAAAATATAACCTGGATATTAAAATTATTCTTAAATTTTAAAAATACAATGTTCAAAAACCATAGAGTTCTTTTCAGATGTTTTTTAAACTTGATTCTGTCAATTTACAACTTCACAACTCACTAGGGGAGCTGCCAACCAGGGAGATGCTAAGTTATCATCTCACCTGTTTTTAAAGCAAACACCTAACTCTAGCTCTGACAGAAGTACTAACTAAACGTCCTTTCAAATCATATAGAAAACAGATAATATAATTTGTCTAGACTTCCTACCAGTTATAATTAACATTAAAGAGGTCTTTTTTCCTTTGTCACCTCTCTATTCAGTGCTTATTTGGGTTTGTTTGTACTTACTATCTGTTAATCTCCCTTTACAAATGACAACAATAACTAGTGCTATTATGCATGGAAATTAAACATGCTGATAACTGTGTGAAGGGAACTGGGGCTGAAAAAAATATTAGAAGCCTGTAACTCTTTATGCTTCTTGTTTTATTTTGATAATTAAGCTTTTGGTCATGGTGTATTTTAAACAAAACTCTTCTATGTAGGAAATAGGCCTTAATCATATTAAATATATGCTTTGCTTCAATTCAATTTTGTAAAGTACATTTGGTTTAACCCTTTGTTCCCCCAATGCAAACCAGCTAGCTAAATCTAACCTTCAAGGAACATCTGTGCTACTAAAAACTAAATATAGGTTGGGCATGGTGACTCATGCCTGTAATCCCAGCACTTTGGGCGGCCAAGGCAGGTGGATTGCTTGAGTTCAGGAGTTCAAGACCAGCGGCGGCAGCATGACAAAACCCTGTCTCTACCAAAAATACAAAAATTAGCTGGGAGTGGTGGTATGTGCCTACAGTCACAGCTACTCAGGAGGCTGAGGTAGGAAGATGGCTGGAGCCCAGTTAGGTGAGGCTGCAGTGAGCTGTGACTACGCCACAGCACTCCAGCCAGGGTGACAGAGCAAGATCCTGTCTCAAACAAATTTTTTTTTAATAAATATAATATACCAGGTATTTGAAAATATTCCATGATGATGCAAATCTTATAAGATCTCATACTGAATTTTGTCTCTTAAGGGTGGTAAAAACAAAGCAAATGAAAATACTAATATAAGTTCACTTTGATTTAACACTCACAAAGACAAAACTTACTTTCAACTCTCATTTTCAGAAATAACATATAGCCTGCACAGCCCAGGGCTATACTGACAAGTCAATGGAAGAGGACATTTTAAAATAAAAGTGTAGTTTCTTGGAAGCCCAACTTGTAAAAAGGTTTGGATTTTAATAAAAACCTCTAAATCACTTTAAGGATGTCTGCTATCCAAATACGTGATTTTATTACGTAATGCCACATGCAAATTATAATAACCAATAGAAATAAGGTCAATAAATTTTCAGTTGCCTGGCTTAACCACATTTGTAAACAGAAAGTTCAAAAGAGGTAAAGTCAGCCTGTCCAATAGCAAAACAAACCTTTACCAAAATATGCCAAGCTCTATCACTTGTTGCTTTAATCTCAACATCACTAATTCCTTAAAATCATTGTGTATGAAATTGTGTCAAATGCTGATTGGTTCTGATTGCTAAATTATATTTCTGAGGCCTCAACTAAAATGGCTTCTGTCTGCACATGTTAAAAAGGAATCAATTTCCACTTGTAACTGAGACGTTCCTAGTAGTTGCACCTTAAACACAAACTGTTATTCGTTTGTGTACATTTGTATTTTTAGAAGGCTATACACACAGAAATCATCTAGATCTGAAATTGTGGAGCATGAGGCCCTCAAAAATCTTTTGAAGAAACTATCAACAGAATAAACAGACAACTCACAGAATGGGAGAAAATATTTGCAAACTATGCATCTGACAAAGGTCTAATATGCAGAATCTATAAAGAACTTAAACAACTCAACAAGTGAAAACCAAATAACCCCATTAAAAATTAGGCAAAGGACATGAACAGATACTTCTTAAAAGACATATAAGCAGCCAACAAGCGTATGAAGAAATGCTCAATATCACTAATCATCAGAGAGATGCAAATCAAAACCACAATAGGATACCGTCTCACACTAGTCAGAATGGTTATTATTAAAAAGACAAAAAATAACAGATGCTGGCAAGGCTGCAGAGAAATGGGAACGCTTATATACTGTTGGTGGGAATGTAAATTAGTTCAGCCACTGCGGTAAGCAGTTTGGAGATTTCTCAAAGAACTTAAAAAAGAGCTACCATTCGACCCAGGAATTGCATTACTGAGTATATACCCAATGGAAGATAAGCTGTTCTACAAAAGAGACACATGCACTCATATGTTCACTGCAGCACTATTCACGACAGAAAAGACATGGAAGCAACCTAGGTGCTCATCAACAGTGGACTGGATAAAGAAAACGTATATGTGTATACACACACACACACACACACACACACACGTACACAGAGCATGGAATAGTATGCAGCCATAAAAAAGAATGAAATCATGTCCTTTGCAGCCACATGGATGCAGCTAGAGGCCATCATTCTAAGCAAATTAACGCAGGAACAAAAAACCAAATACCACATGTTCTCATTTATAAGTGGGAGCTAAGCACTGCGTACACATGAACATAAAGACAGGAAGAGACTCTGGAACTATTAAAGGGGGGAGGGAAGCAAGGGCTGAAAAAGTACCTCTTGGGTACTATACCCACTACCTGGGTGACAGGATTATTTGTACCCCAAACCTCAGTGTTATATAATATACCCATATAACAAACCTACATATGTACCCCCTAAATCTAAAAATTTGAAATTATATTTTTAGAAGTCCTCTAAATAAATGAATGGAAGCAATAAGATAAAAATATAGAGGAACAAGTTTATAAAAAATAAGGAAAATAACAATGCACAGTAGTTTGCATACTCGAGTCAAATATATAGTGGGCCCGTCTCCTCTCAATCCCAATCAGTCACCAAGTTTGTCCACTCGT